ATTTTTTATTTTCTTTATTTTTCCGTAGGTTGTTCACGATGTTGGTTATTTAGTTACTACCTGTAGATCAATTGGACGCTATTATATCTATGGGCGCTATTATGAAATTTGACAGTACAAATTGAATTTGGTTAAGTGTTTATCAAAGAAAACAGCTTGTTTTGAATTTAAAATAAGTAATAGAAACATGCCAAAAAGTAATGTTATTTGTGATAATAAAGCCACTCCTTTAGAGTGATTTAAGAACTGTGAATATCATGGATATCGACAAGGATATTTTAAATGAGCTCAATGACGACGATTATTTTGAAAAGTCTTTGAACGTAAACTTTCAAATGTCTATTGTTGCTTCAAGTAAAAATAATAACTCTCCTTTTAGGCATCAGGATATTGGGATAATGAGCAAAGTTTAATAGAGAAATCAAAAGATATAAGCAGTATGTATAAAAACATACAGTTTATAAATTTAATTCAGCTACAACTATTTGTATGTTCTAGATTTTGAGAAGCCCTCTTCTGAGCATTTGACAGTTCTTTTACGATGTTTTGGTCACAAACAGTTTAGACCAATGCAATGGAAAATTATAAGTTCAATAATGAACAAAAGAATGGATAATTGTGCCATAATGGCAACAGGCTATGGAAAATCTTTATGTTATCAATATCCTTCTGTCTATTGTGGAGGAATAACTATTGTTATCTCTCCACTTATTTCATTAATGGAAGATCAAGTTTTTTCAATGCAAGTAAGTTACAAGCACAATATAGAAAAGGGATGGTTAATTATTAATAATTTTCTTGGAATAGATGTCAAACATTCCAGCTTGTTTGTTAGGATCAGCACAGTCAAAGAAAAAGGAAGTTATTAGGGAAATATTTGAAAATAAGTACAACCTGGTGTATATGAGTCCTGAGTATTGTTGTGGGGATTACGGAGAGAGTATGTCTTCCTATTTTCTGTTATTGAAATGAATTTAAGTAAATAATTGTATTTATTTCCAGATTTAATAAAGAGTATGAATGAACAACTTAACGTTGTTCTTATAGCTATAGATGAAGCCCATTGTGTCAGTAGCTGGGGACATGATTTTAGACACCAGTACAGACAATTAGGAAGGCTTAGATTGGTGGCCCCCAACGTACCTATATTAGCAGTCACAGCTACTGCTACCCCAAAAGTTAGGAACGACATAATATCTGTCTTAAAATTGAGGCAAGTGCCTTTATTAGTATTATTATTTTAATTAGAGTTTTTCATATCCCTTTCTCTTTTCAGGAATCCCCAGATTACTTGTTCAGGCTTTGATAGGCCAAACCTATATTTAGGCGTTTATTTAAAGGACGGTGGAGTAATGAATGACTTAAAGAAAGTAATGAAAAAGGAAGGCAACAAATACAATTTTTCTGGATCTACTATCATCTATTGTATTTCCAGGAAACAGACTGAAGAGGTTGCAAGATTATTGAAACGTAATCCACAGTGTTTTCTGCTGTAGAAATTTGTAATAAATAACTTCTTATTAGATTCTGGCTATGACTGTGAAGCATACCATGCAGGATTAGGAATTAATGAAAGGAAGGAGACTCACGAAAAATTTCTAAAGGATAACGTCCAGATAATAGTAGCCACAATAGCCTTCGGTATGGGCATTGATAAGCCCGATGTTCGTAACGTGATACACTACGGATGCTCTAGTAGTCTTGAAGGATACTATCAGGAAGTGGGTCGTGCTGGAAGGGACGGTCAACCATCACTTTGTGTCACCTTTTACAATTATGGTGATTTTGAAATACACAAGTGAGTAATTATTGTATAGATAATATTAAGTGTGATTTATTTTCTTATCAATTCTGTTTGCCTTTTACAGTCGTATAAAGGAAATGAATAGCATTTCGGATTATAATTCGGCAAGGTATATGGCCATGAAGGAAATTATGATACAATATCTGGAAACTAGGGAATGCAGGAGGCAGTTTATCTTAAATCACTTCGAAGGGCGCGTCAAAACGAACAAACCGATGCCTAAATGCTGTGATAATTGTACAAAAAGGTATATAGAACATAAATCCTACTTTGAACTTCTTCTGTGCCTCAGGGCTTTATTTAATTTTAATTATTGAAAAGTTACTATACAGAATATAATCTTTTAGCTAGTTCTACTTTTCATCAAATAAAACATAANTGTGCCTCAGGGCTTTATTTAATTTTAATTATTGAAAAGTTACTATATAGAACATAATCTTTTAGCTAGTTCTACTTTTCATCAAATAAAACATAACTTAATGCTTTACTTAAAAATTAATATTCAGGTTGAGTGAAGGTTCCACAACTCAGAAGGTGAAGGGTTTGGACGACAAAGGTCGGTACGACTTCACAACCGACGCCCGCCTGTTCTTGCAGGCTGTGGAAGCCCTCGGAGGGCGATTTGGATTGAACATGTATGTGATGTTCCTACGAGGTTCAAAGTCTGCCAAAATCGACCGATATAAGAAACTTCAACTTTATGGAAGCGGAAAACAAAAAGACGAGGAGTGGTGGAAGGCAATTGGAAGATTGATGGAAAGAAAAAATTTCCTAAGCAAAACTGCAGTGCGATTAAAGGGGAAAATGCCGTACCATACGTTCAGTTTGGGGCAGAAAGGTCAACAGTTTCTTTCGGACAGCTCGAAAACGACAAAGTTGATGGAGCCACCCCCTCCTGAAATATATAAGAAACTTACAGTGAAACATGTTGAACCGTAAGTGAACTCCTTATAGTACATTGTACTTGTAGCGTTTCATATTTCAAAATTACCCCAATTTTTATAGAAAAATTATAGAACATTCTAAAATATTCACAAAATAATGGCTTTCTTAGCAAGTTTGTAGAGAATTAAATCTTCTTGAATTTTTTTTTTACATGTACTCGCTAATTTTACTAATACATATGTTAAATGTAAATTTTTCATAATGGTTGATTTTCACAGCTTTTAAACATATGCATCTCAAAAATGTACAGAGTATAAAGGCGACTTTTTAAACAACTTTATAAAGAATTTAATACTGTGCAAAATAACGTGTAACAGTTTACCAGACTAAATTCAGCAAAATGTAATCGTTGGTATACAACCCAACATACATTCTATGTACTTGTGTTGCCTAGCTTGGCCAACCTGGTATGTACCTTGTAACTTGTATTAGTTTGAATTTTTGTTATTTCTCCAGTTTGCCTTCACAACAACAACAACAACAATCACAACAGAAAAGACAACCAATTTCTTCATCTTCTGGGTACGGTCAGTTACCGGAAGCGTCATTTAAAAAGAATAAAAAGGAAAAGTTGTCCCTGATGACGGTCAGTAGTTCGACCACTACAACAAAGAAAAATAAGAAAACCGCGCCCCCCGAAGTTTCAATAAATTTAAACGACGAGTGCGACACATCACAAGAGACAGAGTTCGAAAAAGCGGAACGTTTGGAAGTTTATAAGAAACTTATGGGCAAAAGGTCGGAATTGGCGACTAATGCCGGGTGCATGCCATATTTGGTAGCATCTAATGCGGCCCTTTTGAAAATGGCCCAGGCGAAGCCTACCACCATCGACGAGTTACGAAATTGCAAACGTAAGTCATTAAATTAAATATCTTTCTAGGTTTAAGAGTTATAATGTCTATTACCTTTTGTGATCTATGTAATAGGAATATCTATTGTTGTTAATATTAATACTAAATATTATTAATATGTAATTAATACTATTTCTTTGTGTAGTTGACGGTTTCACTGAAGCAAAAATAAACAGATTCGGAGAAGAATTTATTAAACTTATCCGAGTGCTCTGTAACTTGAAACCGATAGAAAAGACTAACAGAAAATCGATTCAGGACATTTTGGCTGAACATCCTTTGCCCAATGCGAGGATAAACGCGAGTGCAGAGGTCAGTTATAGTCTTTACAAGGAGGGCAGGAGTGTACAGGAAATTTCCAAAGCAAGGTACTTACTTAAAAGATTTATTAACGTTTATTTTGCTAATTTTTATTATTATTGTATTCTTTCTTTAATTGTTTTATAGGGGTATGAAACCGGAAGTAGTGCTAAATCAGTTAATAGATGCCCTCAAGGTCGGATATCCTGTTCAACTCATCGATTTAGAGATCACGGACGAAATACGGAACTACGTCATCAACGTCATCAGGAAACCCCCGATAAAGTCTGGTAGGTACTTTTTATTTATTATTTTTTGTTAGTATTACTAACGAAATTTAATGGCGAGCGTATTTTTTTGGTATCTGGATTTTCTTCTATTTTTTTTCTCCATAATTTTCACGGATAGAAAATTGTGTCTAGATATTTATTAATCAAAGCGTTCTCAAATACTAGTGGTTTAATGATCTTTGTATAGTTTTCTTCTTTGGCAAATACACTACTCGTAAAAGAATTAAAAGTATCAAATGCATATTAAATAAAAAAAAAACAATACAATTAAGTAAATAAAATGGAGTTGCTTCCTTGCAACAGTTGATAACGTAAGGGTCAGGTGTTANGATGAAGGGGTCCTCTTACAATAACAATGAAATACTTTTAAAAAATTTAAACAAATTTGATGTTATTGAGGCAATCTGCAATGAGGACCCCATTTCAGCCTCTTTAATTACAGAACTTTAAAAACGTGCCTGTGAAATATTAAGTCCTTGCAATCTAACGTAATAATTTAGTAATTCTTGAGCAGACTCTTGAATCGACGGATTTATTTCATTTTCGGTTGTAAGAGCAGTCGAACCTTTCGAATTTATACCCAAAAGCTCGTCGGTTTGCGATAGCTGAAATTATTTGTTTTTTTTTTAAATCGTCCTATTGTTTTATTGTAAAATTATATGTATATGTTACCAAAAAGTGTACATGTCCATTTTGAAAATCTAAACAAAACTTTGACAGTAATAGTAGTAAAGCAGGGGGCACTTTGGGGTCCCAAACGTTGTTAGAACAAAAATTTCTTGCGGTAGCTGTTACATGATGCAAAAAGCAAACTATGAGCCCCTCTCTTACATTGTCAATGCAAAAACTGTCTCTGAATTCCGGTTTATGGGCAAACGTCAGTTCGGGCCTTATAAAAACCTACAACATAATCAAATTGAAGTAGTTTATCTACTATTAAGTTTTGGTTACATTTGCATACCACTAAATCTTGCAAAACTCCTTTGATTTTTTCGACTACAGTTACTATCAAAGAGTTTAATATTTCGTGCAAGTTTTTGTTAGTATCGTCTTGTGTGATAAGTTTAGGGGTTCCTAGACTTTGACGGATTTTCGTTAGAGAATCAGATAGATGTAGTTTAAGGACTTGCAAATGTGTCTTACACTGTTTTCTACCTGCGTTTATTACAATGTCGATTCCAGTTCTGTAAAAACAAATTATTGTAGTCCCAATAGTTAGCCTCAAAAATATTTTTATTACTTCGCAAAATCTGTGTTTCTACAGAGCGTGTTCATGGCTTGCAATCTCCTATAGAATCTGTCTAAGGCCTCAACTAAAATATTGGTGTCGCCTATGTCGTGTTCTAAGTCTACTTTATTCTGTACCAGTTCGAAATATTTGTTCATCTTTTCTATGATGAATATGTTTAATTCTTTAGCGGCGAAACTTTCAAAAATTTCGCTACAACCCAAATTAAGAAAATCACAGTTCCCTTTTGTTCTATTATATTAATTAATTTTACCTATTTTCTATGTTGTCTCGTGCAGCCCTGTTAATGAACATGTCGTGGAAAGAAGCTACGACCAAACATAAGTCACTTAAGAATCCTGAACATCCTAAGTCTACAAATTCGATAATGTCCCTCTGTTCACTCTGGTCTCTTAAAATGACCAGTTGTTCGTTTAGTCGTTTTTCAGCGCAAGATAAGAATTCCACACATAATTCCTTAGCAGGTTCTTCCAATTGAAGCAACAAATCAACTGATTCAGCAAGTGCTTTGGCTGATGCTTCAGAGTTGTTGAATTGGTTTCTAAGTTCATTTTTCAATTCTGTGAGGATTATTTCACAGTCTGTTTTTATACCTTCAAATGAAGGTAGATTTCCATATTGTTGGAGGACTTTTTGGGCATGAAGGTAGTCTTGAACAGCCTACATTACACAAATTATAAATAATTAAAATAACTGACAGGCTTGTAACAGACCTGTTTATAATTTTTTTCATCCATACTGCTCTTTAACGTTGCTGGGAGCTTAAATAAGAACTGTAATCTCTTTAATAGACTGTGAACCCCTGACAGTTTGCTTATTTGGTCTCTAGTGCCCTGAAGAGTTGTTGATATTTGTTGGGAAAATGATGTTATTGAATCCATGTTTTGAGCTAGAAGGTCCATTTCAGTTTCCATTTTTTTAAAGTCGTTTTTCATCTTAAAAGCGTTAAAATGTTTTCACTAACTTTATACAACTTTTACCACAAACTTTTTACCTTTTTTACAGTATCAGTAGCGATTATAAACTTATTATAGTTTTCATACACCAACGTTTGCATGTCAGAATGTAGGGTTTGTGTATCTTTAATTGTTTCACTCTCTGTGTCCATGATTTGCCTCAGNAAAAATACTTGAAACAATTATTTTATTTTTCTTTATTCTCAAAATATATTAGGAACAGTTTTCGTACATTTGGTATAAAATCGCACTCAACGTTTCTACTTCGTATCTTATGGTACAAAATTATAAATAAATATTAAAAATAAATAGGCGAGTGTGCATAATTTAAGTGTTGGCCTAGACGAATTAGAATTTTCGTAATATCTGGACTTTACTGAAAATTAACATATTATGTAAATACATTTTTGATTTATTACAAATCTAATTAATTTAAACTTACCCGGTTCATTTGGATCTCTCCGTCCACATTGTTTGTAAGATAATTTGCTCTTTCGTTTTGTATTTATATATCCCGGTATATATAAGCTCGGAGCTTCTAATCTACCAATTGTTATCAGTCTATTAAAATCTTGTTCCAATTTGTTGGCAATTGGCCCTTTGAAATGTAAAAGAAGCTGAACACAAGCGTCATGATGTAAATATTTGGTTTTTCGCGAATCCACGTTCAACATCCATTCGGGTATTCCCATCACTGCGCGTATATTTTCGATAAACTGTGCCCTATAAAAACATAATTTATCAATTTAAAAAGGAGATGCACCCCATGGGTTATATTTACAGAACGAATCGAGGTGGTTTTTCAATATTGGCGTATTTGATGATGTCGTAATCCGGCTCTATGTTAGCACAAGCGTACTTGAGATGATTTTTGTTGGGACTCATTATAACTATGGATCTTCCTATGGCGGTAACGTCTCCTTCTAGTGGAAAATTCGAATCTACCAAAACCACCCTGTTCAGACCTATTCCATACTGCTCTTTAACGTTGCTGGGAGCTTAAATAAGAACTGTAATCTCTTTAATAGACTGTGAACCCCTGACAGTTTGCTTATTTGGTCTCTAGTGCCCTGAAGAGTTGTTGATATTTGTTGGGAAAACGACGTTATTGAATCCATGTTTTGAGCTAGAAGGTCCATTTCAGTTTCCATTTTTTTAAAGTCGTTTTTCATCTTAAAAGCGTTAAAATGTTTTCACTAACTTTATACAACTTTTACCACAAACTTTTTACCTTTTTTACAGTATCAGTAGCGATTATAAACTTATTATAGTTTTCATACACCAACGTTTGCATGTCAGAATGTAGGGTTTGTGTATCTTTAATTGTTTCACTCTCTGTGTCCATGATTTGCCTCAGGGAACTTTCCTGTATATGCAAAATGAGTAGTCATTCAATAATTTAAAAAATTTGTTTATAATAAAATTTGATAGTTATTACCTTGAAAAGTTTCTCTAGGTACAAATTTGGATTAAAATTAGGGCTATTTAAGTCCAGTACACTTGGTTTTTTGTCACCCATTTTGCTTAATTGTATTTTTCGTTTTTGTATAAGTCCAAGTTCAATGTTGGGCACTGTTTTTCTGTCTCAGGAAGAATTTATAGAAAGGATACGAGATTTGGTTAGATTAGATTAGCTTAAAATTAAATATTAGGTATATTATAGTCATATTCTGTACAATTTTAAAGGTATAATCACAAAAAACCTCTTCGAAAGTAAAAATTTTTAATCTTTCATACAAACATAACCTAAAAACCTGACGTTTGTTATTTTAGACCATAGACATTTTAGACAGTGGTTGAAATATCCTGGACTGTTATATATTTAGTGTCTAAAGTAGCCTAGTAGGTATTTTAAAACTTTGTTCATATTAAAATTTAACGATAGAGGTCTCACGTTTAAATTAAAAGTACGTCCAAATCAATAACTAACTTTTATTTGATTATAATTTTTGAGAGAAAAAAAAACAACATTCGTTTCATTATTTATTAAATTATAGCTTATTTACAATAACAGAAGTATGAGAATAGTAAATCTATTAATACTTAAACTACCATCAACCTAGGTGCAATATTCATTGACATTAATTCTTGGAACAGTAATTTGGCAGCATAGGGCAACCTTATTTGTGATATTTGCGTTTTATTCTTGCAGCCTTTGCACTCAAACGTGTTGTTTCTTAAATTGGCGATAGCTATAAGTCCGCAAAAGTTACAAACGTGTACCCTGTATGGATCTGATACTTCAAACAATCTCTCCCTTAGGAATTGCGCTGCTCCATGCGAAATTTGACAATCCCGTTCCATCTCCCCAAAACGCAAACCTCCGTCCCTAGCCCTACCTTCCATAGGCTGTCTTACCAAAATCTGAACCGGTCCTCTAGCTCTTGAATGGATTTTATCATCCACCATGTGCTTCAAACGTTGATAATAAGTCGGTCCCAAGAAGATTTGGGCGTTAATTTTACGCCCTGTGTGACCATTGTACATCACTTCGTTTCCTCTCAAGTGATACCCATATTCTTGGAGCAAAGTTGAGATCTTTTGTACGTTAACGGCGTCATTGAAGGGGGTCGCGTCGCCGATTTCGCCCTTATTTGCCGATACTTTACCTTGAATGCACTCAATCAAGTGACCAATAGTCATACGAGATGGGATAGCGTGGGGGTTGATAATTATATCAGGAGTCAGGCCCTCACACGTAAATGGCATGTCCTGAAACAATAAAAAGATAAAGAGAGGTAGTACAGTAATTATGGGCTTATAAAGTGGAAACTTACCTCCTGTCTGTACTGTATTCCACAGGTTCCTTTCTGTCCATGCCGAGAGGCAAACTTGTCCCCTATTTGAGGAATCCTAACAGACCTGACCCTTATCTTGCAGAATTTATAACCTTCGGCGTTTAGGGTTAACATGACTTGATCGACTACGCCTGTTTCGCTGTTTCGTAGGAACGTAGAGGCGTCCCGTTTCGTGAATCTTTTAGTGGTACCTTCAAGCTAAAATAGTAAAGAAATAGTTAAAAAATTCACCTCCCAAAAAATACCTCTCTATACAAACCTCGTCGTCATTTTCTGGGAGGGTTATCGTTTTTCCAATAACAACGTCGTCTCCTGACACTCGAATTCCCGGTGATATGATGCCATCATCGTCTAGTTTGTCATACAGGGCATTTCTCATCCCTTGGCAGGTTTGTCTTGTCGGTTTCTCAAACTGCTCTTCTTGATCTCCAATACGTTTACATTCAGCGTCTTTGTATGATCGGTAGAATACCGATCTATGACATTAAAACGAAAATAATAATTTAAAGAAACTTAATGCTAAGGATGACCAATACCTAAAAAAGCCCCTTTCAACGGCAGATGCATTCAAGATGACGGAATCTTCTTGATTATAACCAGTGTAACAGGCAATAGCTACGATACTGTTGATTCCAGCAGGTAATTCTCTGAATCTCAAATATTCCATAGAACGAGTAGTTACAAGTGGTTTATGGGGGTAATATAAGACATGTGCGAGAGTGTCCATACGTACGTGGAAATTGGTGATGTAAACTCCCATGGCTTGTTTACCCATAGCACTCTGTAACAAACAGAAATCATTTATGTTAAACGATCAACAAATTACTAAACGTTTAGTATTTAACCTGATAAGTGTTTCTGGGACTCTGATTGTGATCAGGAAATGGAATGATCGAAGCACAAACGCCAAGAATCATGGCAGGGTGAATTTCACAATGGGTGTATGTGGTACAATATGCATACTCTTTTTCTTGTCTAAGATCTTCTGGGGACATTGCTATCATCACAGTTTCTTCTTCAAGAGTATCGATGTATTCCACTACACCTGAAGCAACCAATACTTGCCAACCATAATTAGTGTAGTCTCGTTCTTTCAGCATATCGATATGTTTCTTTTTAAGTAACAACTGGCCGTTTTCGACAATGAGCAACGGCCTGCAAATTCGTCCTGCGTCTGTGTAAATTCGTATCTCACGATCGCGAATATCACGAATCATCGATACTTCGGATACAATGATGTCCATTTGACGTCTCAGTTTTCGTAAAGTGGACATGAGTTGTTCAGGGTCTCTGTGGATACCCACCTGAAAGAATTAATCAAGTTATGCCACTTTAAATATAAAGGTTTTAATTAAATATGTACCCAGCATCCATTGACGAATATTTTTGTGGCGTCTGCAATAGCTGATGGGGCGATTTCTTCCAAATTTTCCATAGACCATTCCTCCAAGAACTCCAGAATGGGCGAGGGTTGGGAACCAACAGAAATGTACGCCATTAAGGCCAAATTTTTGACGAGTCCTACGGCTGCTCCTTCGGGCGTTTCAGCAGGGCATATCATCCCCCATAAAGTGTTGTGTAACTGTCGAGGTTTGGCAAGTTTGCCATCTCTACCAATTGGCGAGTTAACTCTTCGTAAATGGGATAGAGTCGAGGCAAAAGTGAGTCTGTTCAATACTTGGGACACCCCAGCTCTGGCCTGATGAGCTTTCTTCTGATCACCCCAATTGCCAGTAGCTAAAGAATATCTGAGACCGTCGGTAATAAGTTTGGTTTTTATGGCCAAATCGAGGTTGAAATCTTTACCACGATCGATGAATTTCTGCGCGTACATTCTCACCTCTTTCATGAGGTTTTTGAACAGGCTGAAATAATAAACAAACAAAATTAAGTAAAAAATCACAAAACAGTTAGCAAAATGAAGTAATCACCCTCTAAATAAGAAGGCAAGTAATGGTCCTGCCAGATCAAGCCTTTTGTTTCCATAATGATCCCTGTCATCTAATTCTCTTCGCCCTAGAGCAGCCAATAGAAGTCTGTGTACCATGTACCTAAAAATTTAATTATTTTTTTAAGTAAAATTATCAATGTTTATTTAATTACATCATTACCCCAAAAAGTAAGCCTTTTTCGTTTCGCAAAAGTCAGAGACACCGACGTGGGGCAGCATTTCCTTCTGTAGAATTTCTCTGGCGTATTTAATACGTTTGTCTTTGGTGACCCCAGGTCTAGCACCTCGAGATCCGATAAAATTAAGAGCGACGTTTTGTTCTTGGACCACAAATGCTTCATCAAGAGAAGGCTTTACCATTTCCATCATTTCTGGGTCTTCAAAATCATAAATGATATGCTCAAGAATGTCTCGATCAGCTACAAACCCTAGGGCTCTAAAGACAACCATAATAGGGATTTCTTGCTTGATGTATGGCACAATGGCAATAATACGTTGGCCAATTGCTGCTTTTTTAATGGCCTGACCTCCTCTGGCCATCATGTTGACCCACAATGTGGATGTAGGACGTGAACTGTGTTCTAAGCAAGACCTGATTTCAGCCTTGTATGCATATTTGCTGTCTTTCATGGCAAAAACGTATACTGTGTTTGTGGCCATCTTCTCCTGGGCTATAAGTACTTTTTCAGAACCATTTATAATGAAATAACCTCCAGGATCTAAAGGGCATTCATTTAATTCTGTTAGATCACGGTCACTTAAGCCATTTAGTAGACAGTATGTAGACCTTAACATAATTGGGATCTTTCCTACAAATAATTAAAAATGCAATAGTTTCAGTCTAAACATTTAGCAGATAGTAGTAGCTTACCTATAAAGGTTTTCTGATGTTGTGTTTCAGTAGGATCCTCTCCATCTTTTATAATTGTTTTAGTTATATCTACATATAAGGGTGCAGAATAAGTCAAATTTCTTAATCTTGCTTCATTTGGCATCATAGGTGAGGGGGCTCCATCTTTTTCCCAATGTGTAGGCTTCGATAAATAGATTTGTTCAAACTTAAGAAAATATCTAGGCTGAAAATGGAAAAGTTATAATAAGGTTCTACATTCTACGAAATTATTGTTTTACCGGGTTTTCAATTTCACCACTGGTATGTTGAGCCTCTGCTTGCAATTCTATTTGGGGCGAATCCTCCACTATCCTTTGAACTGACATCTGAATGAATTCATCGAAACTGTCCAGCTGTTGTCGTACAAGGCCTTTTTCGTCAAAATACGCGTTAATAACAATCCAACAAGCTTCTTGCCATAATTCAGAACTAATTTCTGCGGCATCTTCATCGTCAAATTGGTCTATAAACAATGTTATAGGTTAGGTTTATGTGTTAAGAGAAATTGCACAAGTTTAAATGAAAATTAACAGTAGCAAATGCATTATTTACTTACCGTCATCTTGTTCGTACATGTTGAAAACTTTAATTTACAGAAAATTCAGTAATTTTAACCAATTAATTAACACAACGTTACACAAAACACACAAACTGCCGCAAACTGTCAGGTTCTATTATCTATGGTCAGGATCAGCAGCACTGCCAACGTAGTAAAAGTGTTTTAAACATAAACGTGAAATGCTGCAGTTTTTCTAATAAATTCTTTACTAGTTTATTCAATATGATGCAACAATAATCTAGTACAAATCGCGAGAAAATAANCTACGACCAAACATAAGTCACTTAAGAATCCTGAACATCCTAAGTCTACAAATTCGATAATGTCCCTCTGTTCACTCTGGTCTCTTAAAATGACCAGTTGTTCGTTTAGTCGTTTTTCAGCGCAAGATAAGAATTCCACACATAATTCTTTAGCAGGTTCTTCCAATTGAAGCAGCAAATCAACTGATTCAGCAAGTGCTTTGGCTGATGCTTCAGAGTTGTTGAATTGGTTTCTAAGTTCATTTTTCAATTCTGTGAGGATTATTTCACAGTCTGTTTTTATACCTTCAAATGAAGGTAGATTTCCATATTGTTGGAGGACTTTTTGACAATAAATAAATTATTTTGACTTCATAAAACACTAGTTATGTTGTTGGAATGTAATTTTTTCAACCCCTTTCGCAAATAATATCCACAATACTTGGCTCCATCAGAACTGGTTCGAGACATCTATGTACAGCAGACCCTAATATTTCATCCAAAAGAAAATGGACCAAACTAAAACACAAAAGGTTATTAAATGTTGAAATAATCATATATTTGAACTTACTTTTCATCTGCAACAAAACGCCACAAATACAGCTGTAAATAATGAGTATCAACTTGTATTTGTTGAAGTCCAAACTTACTGAACGTTTTCAGTCTAACACATTCCATAAAAGTCTACAAAAAAAAAAAACAAAAAATTGAGAAAAAATATTATGAATACCTACTTTTAGAATTAAATATTTTTTTTCTTTCTACAAATTTTTTCTTGCATAATACGATTATCACTGATATACAAATAAATAATTAACGTTTGTTGGTTTATTTGTATGGTCAGTACGATTTCCTAAGTTGTTTAGATATACTTAACAATAAACAGAAATTTGCTTCAATTTAGTAAATAACATCACAAACATCATTATGATAAATTGCTTGTTGGTAAACAAACCTTTAGGCTTATCTTGATAATGCCAGTCAAAATGGACACTTTATTGAATTCCACTGTTGAGAATATTTCGATTCTTTCGCTGAATAATTTGTGTATATTCGATACTATCGTCGAATCTAAATGACTCGGTGTATAACTCGACCAATTCGATCGGTATTGATGTCTTGAAACCGAAATACTAAAAATTAAATTCGTTTTTAAATAAGTATTCTTTTTTCAAGCTTTACAACATAAGCACACTTTTAGAAATCCCCTACAGGGATTTCGATATTCATCTCCCTAAACGTGCTTAGTTACGTATTACTTGAACGGTCCTTTAGTTATTACCTATGGGTTTTTCTGCTCGAATCGCTGCTGTGTTCTGTTGTAGTCCCTTGGTCTTCGTACAATTGAGCAACCATCGAATCAATAGAAGTCATATCTTCCACAACTCTTTTCATAACAGCCCTTACGGTCCTAGGTTCGATGGTGTGTAACCAGTCGCGAGTTTCAACACTTTTTCGTAACATCTACAGTACAATAATTATAAAGAAATTACTTAAATAATAATAATTAAATTTGTTTTGTAAATAAAAAACAATGTTAAGATGAAGGGGTCCTCTTACAATAACAAGGAGCTAATGATGATTCAAATTTCGACCATATAAAGCAGTTGAACCGAGATGAAATCAAACTAATCACCTTCGGCACAACTACTTAATATCGAGAAATTATTAATTAAAACATTAAAATAATAAAAAAATAATGCTAAT